CAAGACTGAGTGCTCTGTATCTCAGCATTGAGCTAGATGTTCAGTAAAAAGGGCAAGGGAGGAGGAGATAAAGAGATGCTTTGGAGCATGATGATGGTGCTGGGTACAGAACATTTCTAAATATATCAGGAAAGCAACAAATGGGGGGAATTCCTTATATAAAGGCTTACTTGTACTGATTGGAATACATAGGGTCCTTATAAGGCAGAAACCTAGTAGCCCTTATTAATCAAGCCTGCTGTGCCCCCCCTTGCTTCTGAGAGATGCCAGATTCTTAAGAACGGCTTGGGATGTCAATATCAACAGATATTTAACACAAGGACTAAAGCCACTTGACTCACTGGAAGGAGCCTGAGGATAACCATTGCAACTGCCTGATTACATCGCATCATGTAAATTTCATTATGTAATTTCCTAGGCAGAGATAACTTTAGTATCATCAGTAATGTATTTTTATGCATAAAGTTTTTTTGTTCTAACATAGACCAGGTAGCCAATACAATACAGAAGATGTCCAAGTCCGCAGATCATAAGAAGACGCTAAGCAACTCTCAGGATTGGAAGAATCACTTCTTAATGGTGGTCTTGAGATTCCATGGTTGTGCGGCAACAAGCCAGAGCCACACCCAGACAAGGCAGCAGTTTCTCCATAACGGAGATACTGGAGTTATTAATTTTTTTAAATGAACCCCCAAGCATACCACCGTTTACATGATCTGATGAAGCCTGAGTATGCTTTTCCACTCTGCAAGGCATGAAATGTTTTAAAAAGTTTAGTTTTAAAAAGGGAGGGCATTACTTTGCAAACACTCACGATTTATAATATTCTGGAGGTCTGGATACTGGAGGGATGTAGAAGGGAGGGTGGAGCCAGAGCCCATGACTATAGACTAGTACTGTTGGAAAAACTTTCAACATTAAATAGATGCTTGTAATAAATCACAGCTTCTGGGGTTGTTATAGTACAGAATAGCAAGCAACCATAAAAATGCTGTCTCCCCCAATTAGAATTAACAAGTTGGGACCCGCAAGAAACTTGAGGGACAGTTATCCCATTCCTCACATCTTTGCTTCCTCCCGTCCCCTCACCTCTCTCATACTCTTTCTCCCTTCTGCTCCCCCCTTTCTTATTCTATGCTGCATGCAGGTTATTTCCTCCCTCTTCTGCCCCTTCATCATTCTGCTTGTTTTTCTGCCTCCCCACCTCCCATTACTCTCTTTCTGCCCCATCACTCTCCCAGCCTCCTCTTGCTTCCTACCCCACACAACAGCAGCAGCAGCGGTGGCGGTGTTCCCAGCCACCCACCTGCTTTCTCTCCCTCCACAGCAGCAGAGGCAGCTTTTGGGGAATCACAATGGATCTCCCAGCTACAGAGATCAATTCACCTTAGGGTTACCAGCTCCAGGTTGGGAAATTCCTGGAGATTTGGGGGTGGAGCCTTCGGACAGTGTGGCTTGGGGAGGAAAGCAGCCTCAGCAGGCTATAATGCCATAGACTTAGGTTGCCAGGTCTGGGTTGGAAAATACCTGGAGACTTTGGGGGTGGATCTAGGAGAGGGCGGGGTTTGGGGAGGGGAGGAGCCTCAGCATGGTACAATACCATAGAGTCCACCCTTCAAAGCAGCCATTTTCTCCAGGGGAGCTGATCTCTGTCAGCTGGAGATCAGTTGTAAAAGTATCTGGAGGGTGACAACCCTACATAGACACCACTGTCCAAAGCAGCCACTTTATCCAGGGGAACTGATCTCTGTCACTTGGACAGCAGTTGTAATTCTGGGTGATCTCCAGCCCTCACCTGGAGGCTGGCAATGGTAGTTCTCATGGAGGAAATGGCTGGTTCGGAAGGTGGAGTCGATGGCATTATATTGGTCTGAAGTTCCTCCCCTCCTCAAATCCCACTCTCCCCAGGCTCCACCCCTCAAATGTCCAGGAATTTCCCAACCAGGAGTTGGCAACCCTATCTCCTCACCTAACTTTCTGTCTTCAGCTTTCTGTCTCCACCCCCCCTCCTCCACAGCCTGTACCTAAGAAATCTACAGTCTTTCTCTACAGTGGAGACCAAAACAGCTTACATTATCTCCTTTTTATCTGCACAACAACCCTGTGAGGTAGGTTAGGCTGAAAGTATATGACTGGTCCAAAAACACCTGGTCAGCTTCCACTGGAAGATGGGGCTCTGAACCTGGGTCTTGCAGACCGTACTTTGAAGCTCTGACTGCTGTACCACACTGGCTTTCATAGGGTGGCTGCTGTTAAAGAGTAGCAAGCAGCCAGGCCTAGTTGAGTCGTGCAAGTTGGGTAGTATCAAGTCACCCAAAGGGTGCTGTCTGGCCTAGGGTTGCCAGCCTCCAAGTGGGACCTGGAAATTCCCCCATAATTTCAACTGAACTGTAGACAGCGGAGATCTGTCTCCCTGGAGAAAAATGGCTGCTTGAAAGGGTGGACTGTGTGGCATTATATCCAGCTGAGGCCTCTCCTTTCCCCAAACCCAGGCCTCCTTAGACTCCCTCACAAAATCTCTAGGAAGTTCCCAGCTTGGTACTAGCAAACTTTTGTTAGGCCTGGCTCTAAGGATCCCTCCCTGAAAGGCCAAAATAGGCCTGGAAAGGGACCTGCCCCCTTCCCCTGCCTTTTACTGACAGAACCGGTTAGAAGCCACCCCCCCCCCCCCCCGAAAGTTTTAAGAGGACAGTGGAGCCTGCAGCAAAAGAGGTAGAGGTCCCCCTGCTATTCATACTGCAGGAGGAATCTTCCCCAATCTCAGCTCCAGTTCTTCTTTTGCTTCCTCCTCTCTGTCAGCCAGTCTATCTCTCACTGTCAATGTGGCAGGGTCTAGAGTAGATCCCTGCAGTGGCCATTTCAAAAGGTATTGTGGTGGATTCAACCCTCCCTGAGGTTTTTTTTCTTTACTTTTTGGATTTTTCTGCAGACCCACAGAGTCCTGAGTCTGTAGAAAAACCTGTTGGAGAAGAGTGTGCCCTGTTTGCGGAAATAAGTATCCGCACGCAGAAGGGACTGTTATATAGATGAATGCTTGTATGATCTAATCAGTAAGACATACAGATCAGATTATAAAAAGATTAGTTTCCAATTTAGTGGTAGAGTGGAAACCAGCAGCCCATTGCATGCTTGCTTTACTATTCAGTGCTGTGTGTGTATATAAGCAAACATCTGTACGGAGAGGGAATTGAACACACAGTCATCTTAGGAAGAGATATGTAAATACACCGGTGAAAATGTAACTCAGCTTCTGTAGTGCCTCTCCTGGGAACCAATGCATGGTGTAATTAGCTGTTCCAAAAACAATCTTTTCTACTGACAGCACTAAACATACAGGCAAATAAAGTAAAGGTGATTAAAAGCACACATACATGTAAGTAAATAGGATTAAAGCACAACAAACTCTGAAGGCCTTTGTCAGGGAGGTTACCAGTGTTCTCCCACTGGCAGGATCAGAGTTCATGCAGCATGAGAGATTTACAACTACCACTTTATTTTGTGAGCCTGGAAAATGCAAAGTGACTCATACTCTCTCACTGACTCCTCAGACACACTCACTAGCCAAACCTAAATGTTAGATGTCAAGGCCTGTTGAGAGATTGCAAGAAAAAGTTGTTGTGTTAATTCAAGGTCCCAATGAAGGCATCTGGAGCTCTTTCTGAACTGTTTAGGGCATCCTGCCAACTTGACTGGCACTTCCTGCTCCTTTTTCCAGTCAGAGGCTCCGGTCACACGGGCCGGAAAACGCGGGGTGGAAGCGTGGCTGTTTGCCCCGGAGCAAACTAACACGCGGCTGCGCGATCAGACATCCCCTCGAGGTCCCGTGGTTAGGGGGGAGGTGCCGATCACACGACGCGGCAAAGAAGTGGCGCGGCAAACGGGGCTGTGTTTTGGTTTTAAACTGAAGTGTGCGCATGTGCCGTTGGGTGCTTGTGCGCATCCCGTGGAGACTTGAAAAAAAACCTTTTTGCATGTCATACCCCACCCCCACCCACGAACCTCTGGCTGGTGCGAAGCTCTCTCTCCCCTCCCCCACAATGACTCATCTGCTCTTCTTTCCTCATCATCTGAATTGCGCTAGAAGAGAATGGCGCTGCTTGGAAGGGAACCCCAGGGTGGGGTGGACACACCTTTTTGCGAGGGGACATGGGCCGGCGCCGGATGCCACCGGAAACGCAATCAGACGCCCGCCCTTGCCCCGCGGTTACCAGAAACTAGTACCTCGGAGGCACTAGTTTTTAACTGCGCATCTTCGGAGGGAAGCCTCGGATTCGCCATGGGAGCTCTATGCCTCCCTGATGTTGTGGTGTGATCGTGCCCGGAAAATCCGCCTGTCATCCGACTCAGTAGCGTGGCTACTGCTCCATGTGACCGCAGCCAGACTAAAGCTAAATACTGGAGACCATTTTGAAAAACAGCCCCAGTCAAAGCCCTGTACACAAGCTGAAGAAGACTGTCTGGATTTAGAATCAGCACCGAGCACCACAGAAATGCCAGCAATTTTTAAAATGTCAAATATCCCATTATTAGATGTTCTTGGCTTTGTCTTCTTAAATGCCATAGTTTTCTGGTTTTCCTTTTATAGTATCTTGTCTGTTACCTCTCCATTTTAGTGAGATATCACAGTAGTTTCTTTGGTGGTTAAAGGCTTCCAGAGAAAACAGGGTAAAGCTTGTATAAACATCCAAATGGTTAACTAGCCCTTTATTTGAAAGCCTAACCCCACAACACAGTCCTAAGCAGTGACACCATCTAACCCCATTGACTTCCATGGGCTTACAGTTACAGTGCAAGAGCCAAACAAGATGTTATCGCTGCCGGGTGTGACCTTTGGCTGCCGCCAACATTTTAAAAAAGAATCTGGCCATTTAAAAATCCTGCAAGGGTCTGATCAGGCCTACAGAGCAGTGGAAACAGCGATCTTATCCCCTCCCAACTCTGCATGGTTTGAAGTGGCGAAACTGACTTATGGCTGTTTCAGAACTTGAAAAGATGGGGGCAGGAGGGGACACGATACAAGATGGCTTGGTCCCGCCACTCTGCAGCCTCATGGTATTTTTAAGCGGCCAAATTCCTCTCTTAAATGATGTTGGAGGCCACAGCTCCGACCCGTGGCTACAGTAATGTCTAGTTCAACCCTGAGAAACAGCAGTGTTGTGTATGCATATGTTTTTGAAGATATGGACCTTTTGTTGGGACAGGAGAGAAAGACCAACTAGAAGCACTGGATTTTGAGCTGGAATGTACTCTGTACTCTCAGAGGCTAGGACCTCTGTTGTAAGATATTTTGGGTAGTCATTGAGGAGAAGAGTAGGGCATAAAAGACGTAAATGAATACATTCCAGGTTATGTGCACATAATCTGCCCTCTGCAAACCGAAATACTGTACTTGGGAAGACTATTACGGGGGGGGGGGGGGGGCAGGGCAATACATGCACCTTCCCCGTCAGTACCTGACAAAGGGAGCTCTGATTCTTGAAATCTGACACCCTGGAAATCTTGTTGGTCTCTAAGGTGCTACTGAACTTGAATCCAGCTCTTCTACTGCAGGCCAGCATAGCTGTCTGCCATGACACTGAGAGTTCTGTGATAAGCAGCTTTAGTTGTCACTGAGCCTCTATGCACCCCTGGGCAAAGCATGTCACGGTCGGTTTGCAGCATTCATTCCGATGGGTTCGAAAGAGAATCAAGCAGCAGAACAAAGTTATGACACAACCCCCACACTGAAGATTATGTCTGACTTTATGATAAAAAAAGGTTTGTCCTTCAGCCCTCCCAACAGTGGCTAAAGACAATGACAGCTAAATTATACCTTTGAAAGAGGAAAGTGGGAAACGGAGAGAAGCACAACTCAAGCCATCTTCTTCGTTAAACCTTAGGTTTTGTTTAAAAGCAAACAATGCAGTGATCCATCACTGGTCACACTGACTGCAACAATTCACTTTTCCCGACTCTCTGTTCTGGTGTTCTGGGAGCCTTCTTTGCAGACATTACACCTTTCTTCCTTTTCAGGTTCACTGAAGACTTTGGTTTTGGCTTTAAGGGAGTCTCTAACAACTCTTTTCCCATGCCCAATTGTTTTGGAGCCTTGGCCTTCTTGCCCTGCTTGAGCTGTTTCGGGGTCTTTTGGCTTGACACACCCTTAGGAATTTCCATCCCTGTTATGGAAGCCATTGAAGAAACGGACAGCTTTCTCTTGCCCTGGAGGTGACCTTTGGGGTCCATCTCCATCCCTTTCTTTGCAGAAGGACTAGGCTCTGCCACCTATATTTTGGAGGGAAAGAAAGAATTGAGATCTTGTTAAGCTTCGATGAAGAAACCAGTTACCAAATACGGCAGCTCCCCAGCTCTTAAGCCTCTATTACAGCCTTGCAAAAAGGACAATACTAGCCCCCTCCCCCACTAGTAACCCACAATATAGTCCTAAAAGAGGCCATTCCTCCAACAAGGCTCTCTGTTCACCAATCAAACCAGATGTCTCTCTTTCAAAGCTCACTAAGATTCCCTTTAGCTTCTCAATTCACAAACACAAAACTCACCTCCTTCCGATTTTCATCCACTCTGACACTTACAGATAACCTCCTGACTCTCAAAACAGGGGAGGGGGCAAGAAAAACCCTGAAAGCAACCAAGATGCTCAGTTTTCAGGTGGGTAGCCATGTTGGTCTGAAGCAGAAGAACGAAGTTGGAGTCCAGTTTGGGCAACTGCCTGTTACAGAAGTCTCTGAAGATAAACAGGTTGCTTACCTGTAAGTGATGATCTTCGAGTGGTCATCTGTGCATTCACACCTCTGGGTTATAGTGTGCCTGCGCCGACCCGGATCAGTATTTTGGAAAGCAAAAGGGGTTTTTCACACCCGCTCCCCAGTCACGTGCTGGGCTCCACTGCGCATGACTAAGGGGAGGGCACGAGGATCCCGCCAGTTCCTTCTGACCGCTGCCCTCAGTCTCCAAAGAAAGGAAAGGACTGAAAGCAGAGGGGAAGGAGGGCGGGTGGTGTGAATGCACAGATGACCACTTGAAGATCATCACTTACAGGTAAGCAACCTGTTTATCTTCTTCGTGGTCTCTGTGCATCACACCTCTGGGAGTCTAGCAAGCAGTGCGCGCCTACCTGGAGGAGGGAGTCGAGGTCCTAATTCTGCGCCGCCTGCAACACTGCCCGACCTACTGCTGAACCCTGGTGAATGCACACATCAAGGGTGTAGTGCTTCACAAACATGTGAGGAGTGGCCCAGGTCGCTGCATTGCAGATATCTTCTAGTGACGCACGTCGCAGGAAGGCTGTGGATGCGGCCACTGCCCGGGTGGAATGTGCCCTTAGCAACCCCGGAAGTGACTTCTTTACTAACGTGTAGCACAGTTTAATAGTCTCCACAATCCATCTGGATAGGCGCTGGGATGACAGCTTCTTCCCTTGGGAGGGTAAAGCATAAGAGACAAACAAGGTCGGTGACATTCTAAAGGGTCTTGTTCGACTCAGGTAAGAGTAGCGCTATTTTGACATCCAGCGAGTGAAGCTGACGTTCTTTCTCATTCAACAGGGACAGGAAGAACGCTGGGAGGACAATGTCCGCCTGTAAGTGAAACTCAGAAACAACTTTCGGTAAGAACCAAACATCTGGAGCCAACATGACCCCATTATGACGGAAACTCAAATATGGGGGGTCACAACGGAGCGCCAACAGTTAGCTCATCCTCCTGGCGGAGGTGACTGCAATTAAAAAGGCTGTCTTCCACGACAGGAGCTGCAAGCTACAAGTAGCCATCGGCCTGAAAGGCTTGTCTGCAAGTCTCGTAAGCACCATACGACGGAGGGAAAGGGTGGGTCAGGCCCATAAGAAACTTTTTGGCCTGCGGGTGGGAAAAAACGGAGTAACCATCAGTTGGTGGGTGATTGGTTGAAATTGCGGCCAAATAGACCTTCAATGGGGTACAACTAAGGCCCAAGTCCAAATGGGACAATAGAAAGCCAAAAATTGCCATCAGATCGGATGGGGGTGGTGGCAATCCCAACAACGTAAGGTGGGACAAGAATTTTCTCCACTTCCCTTCGTAGGAAGCTCGAGTGGACGGCTTACGACAGTTCAGTATGACATGGTCTATCCTGTCTTTGAACTTCAGAAGAGGATCCTCCAAGCTGTGAGCTTGAGAAGCTGCACATTGTGATGCAGAATCTGCCCCTTCCCCGCAAGGAGGAGATCCGCGACTGGAGGAAAATGTATGAAGGAGCCCTTGGAGAGATGGAGCAGAATGGGGAACCAATATTTGCCGGGGCCACCATGGAGTCACTAAGAGGCAATGAGGTTTCTCCTGCATTATTTTGACTAATACTCTGGAGATTAGTGGAATCGGAGGGAAGAGGAACACATACAGGCATGACCACGGGACAAGGAGACCGTCATCTAGAGACAGGGGATCGATCCCCGCTCTTGAACAGAACAGACGACATTTCCTGTTGTGGTGTGTGGCAAACGCGTCCATCTCCGGATGGCCCCATAGGTGAAAGATTGACTGGAGGTATTGCCAGTTGATCTCCCATTCGTGCTCCAACGCACTGCCCATGCTCAGGAAGTCTGCTTGGACGTTCAGAGTCCCTGGGAGATGGGTGGCTTTCAGGGATGTGCCCCGCGACAGACAATCTTCTCATATTTCCAGGGATAGACGACATAGTCCCCTGGATACCGTGCCTCCCTGTCCGTTGATATAGCAGAGGGCCGTGGTGTTGTCCATGAGGACAGTGACTACCTGCCGAGCCACAAGGTGTCGGAAGGACCTGAGTGTGTACTGCACTGCCAACAGTTCTAGGAAACCGATGTGGTTGCGGGCTACTTGGGATTCCCAACGAGCCTTGACACAAAGTCCTTTGAGATGTGCGCCCCATCCCCAAAGAGACGCATCTGTGGTTAACATGAGTGTAGTCTCGGGTGGGTGGAACGGAGCTCCCGCTAGGATTCGCAGGGTCCGTCCACCAGAGTAGGGAGTGCAGGACAGGCTGTGGGATGACTAGACGGAGGAATTGGGGATGACACTGCGGGTGGAACCTCCTGACAAACCACAGCTGCAATGGTCGCATGCGTAGTCTGGCACAGACAATGACATTGGTGGTAGCTGCCATCAAGCCCAGCAGCCGCTGGACTTACTTTACAGTGGCCGTTCCCGTATCGTGTAAGCGATTCACTAGATCGACAATGTCTTCCGCACTCTGCGGAGGGAGGGAGGCTTTGCAGATGACAGAGTCCAGAATAGCTCCTATAAACTGCACTCTTGTGGCAGGGAGGAGCATAGAGTTTTGTAAATTCACCTTGATTCTCAAGGATTTTAGGACAATCAAGGTTAGTTCAACATGGGTGAGCAGGGATGCTTCCAAGTCTGCTACTAGTAGCCAATTGTCTATGTAGGAAAAAACCTGGATGCCCTTGAGGCGGAGGTGTGCCACTACGACTACCATGACTTTTGTAAAAATCCGAGGGGCCATGGACAGTCCAAACGAGAGGGCTTTCTATTGGAAATGTCTGTTGCCTACCGCAAAACGGAGGAAGATGCGGTGGGTAGGATGAATGGAGACGTGAAAGTACGTGTCTTTGAGGTCCAAAGTCAACCTCCACGTCTTTGGGCTTAGGAGTGGAAGGATGGTCTGTAAGTGTTGTCATCTGAAATTTTTTGTAGAGGATAAGGCAGTTTAGGTTCCTGAGGTCCATGATGGGACGGAGACCTCCATCCTTTTTCGGTACCATGAAGTAACAAGAGTAGAAGCCCATGTGATGTTGGGCTAATGGCACTGGCTCTATAGCATCTTTTTGGAGGATTGAATCTCCTGTAAGAGGATGACAGAAGGAGGTGTGATGACGACATGAGCAGTTGTAGGGATGTGGGAGAACTCTATAAGGTATGCTGACTCGATTATGGAAAAGACCCAGCGGTCCGACGTGATGAGCCTCCAGGCCGAAAGGTAGGGTGCTAAACGAGTAGGGAATGACGGAATGGAGTTGGAGTCAAATACTCTGTTTAGGAGTCTTGGGAGCTTTAGATCTAGATTGGGAGGCAGATGAGAACTTAGGCTGTCCCATATAAGGCGAGATGAACTGCTCGATGGATCTTTGCCAGTAAGACTCAGAAGGAGATTTTGATGAAGGTCTACGGGACCACTGTTTGGTCCAATGTTTGCCTTTGCTAGGTTTGGTGGTAGGTGAGACACCCAGACTACGGGGTGTCTTGATGCTTTTGTCCAGCTCTTGAAGCACAGTGTCTGTGGTGGAGCTGAAGAGGCCATCACCTTCAAAGGGAAGATCTTCAACAATGGTTTTTGTATCTGGCTGTAAGGCTGAAGATCGTAGCCATGCATGCCGACGTAAAGCGACCGACGACGTGAGGGTCTTAGCTGAGGAGTCCAGCAAGTGTTTGGTAGAGATGTGAAGGCCCGGAAAAAACCCGGAAAAAATTCGGGGAAAAAACGGGGTTTTGTTTTTTTCCGAAAAACTGGAAAAATTGAAAAAAGAAAAGAAAAAAATTGATTATGGAACACTTTATTTTAACATGATGAATAAAATATTTTAAGACCAGGTGTTCAAATATTTTCCAAATAATTTCTTATATATATATATATACACACACACACACACACACACACACACATATATACACACATATGGTATCAGATTGATGTAAATTCTGTGCACTGAGGACAAGCAAGTCCTAGGTTACAAACTGAACTCTCCAATGCAAGAACAAGATGCATTTCTTCCTTTAGGAGGTGCGATTGTCAGAAGAAAATAAAAAAGTTTCAGTTTTGTTTTTGCATGTGGATGGATATTCTGTTTGTAATAATTGTTTAGATACACTATATTTTTAATATGCTAGTTGTGATAATTTCATGCCAAGTAAAAATGTCCATAGTCATATTTTATGTTCCTAAAGTAACAGAATGACTTTCAAACTAGAAAAGACAAAAGAAATGCTAATGTAGCATTTTTTCCAATTTTTCCGAAAATTTCCGTTTCCCCCCGAAAAAAAACGGGGGGAAAACCGGTTTTTTTCCCGAGCTTCAAAATTTCCGGAAATTTTACATCTCTAGTGTTTGGAGACATTAAGTTGGTGCTTAGCCAAAAGCATACCTTCCTTCTGGATCCATTTAGCCTGATGACTGCTGTCATTCGGGAAAGTAGAGAGAAGTTCTGACATTTGTTCCCATAAGGCAAACTGATAGCGCCCCATGCAGGCAGCATAATTGGCAGCCTTAATCCCCATAGCTCCTGTGGTGTAAAACTTTCTTCCAAAAGCGTCCAGATTCCTTCTTTCTCTGTCTGAAGGGGTAGAGTGGCTGCTCTTCCCTTTAAGCAGTAGAGGTCATGACTAACGAATTCGGCTTCAGATGGTTGAAGAGGAATTCAGCTCCCGACTCCTGGATCTTGTACATGTGATCCAGTCTTTTATTGGAAACCGGGATGGAAGAAGGATGATTCCAGGGATCCTTGGCTGTTTTTAGGAGGACTGAGATCATGGGGAGGGCGACCGATGCTGAGGTGTCCATCTGGACGATGCCGAAGACGGAGTCCGTGACAATCAGTGGCAGCTGGGTGGTGGACAAAGCCAATTTATCAGCCATACGTTTGACAAAGTCCCCATAAGATTTGACACCCTCTGATGGGGAAATGGGTAGATCGTCCTCGACCTGTTGCAGTGGGGACGGTTGCAATGGTGGGTGTGGACTCTCCTCACTCGATTGGGAATCAGAAGAGCTGGAGCAGTCCGAAGGTTCAGAAAACGACGTATGGAGGATTGGCGTCGAAGGCAGTAGCTCCATCAGTTCCAGGAATTCTTTCGGTGCCGACGAGTGGAGACTGGAACCTTTAGCGATCGGTCTCGACTGCAGTGGTTTAACAAATTCCGATGCCAAGGAAGGGTCTCGGTTCTGGGAAATCCGTGAGGATGTGGATTGGCGATCCCACTCGACAGGGGGGCGTGGGGAAACCAAGGCATTGATCCCGGGAAGGGATAAGTCCCGTACAAATACTGCCATTGGCGCCGATCCCATGATGGGGGCTGGAGCAGCACTGGAGATCGATCTCGATCGTCGGGTCCAAAGGGTGGTGAGGGGATGACGGGATGGGTCCCTCATTCCCGATGAAGGTCCTCGATACCTGATCAGAGTCGATGGATTGGTTGGGGCAAAACGAAGGTGATCGAAGTGCACCTTGTGATTGCCCTCGACTCAATGAGGCAAGCGAAGCGGCTCTAGACTGAGTGGCAGTCTCAGTTCGGTGAGGACTCGATGCTTTATCGAGAGAGCCTTTCTTGTGCTTCTTATGCTTGCTGAGTCGAATGTCCTTGCCCTCCTTCTGGATCATGGAAGGGTTATGGGCTTCGGACTGTTGCGCCTGAATCGGGCGCTTGGGCACCGATTTTTCGGCATTGATTGGGGCCGATGTCGAAGACAGAGCGGCCACCGATTCTGATGTGGGTGTCGAAATCGAAGCGTGCCCGGACGTGTCTTGTGCCGAAGACGCCACCGGAAGCAGCGCTGCTTCCATTAGCACCACACGGAGTCTCGCTGCCCGATTCTTCCTGGTCTGTTTGGAGAACTTGGAACAGTGGGAGCAAGAGTCAACCCGGTGCGATTCCGCAAGGCACAGAAGACAAAGAGAGTGTCTGTCAGAGGGGGCCATTTTTCTGCCACAAGTCCGGCACCGTTTAAAGAAACCCCACCTCGCAGCCATAGGCCGGAGGGAGGGGGAAAGATCTCCGCCAGTCTCCGCGGAGGCGGGGATAGTCCAAACTGAAAAACTAAATAACTTTCCTTAACTAACTAATCGAGGTAAGAAGAGAAAGAAGGCCTAAAGCCAGCAAACTTTACCAACAAGAGGCGTACAGGTCCTACGAGCGCGGCGGTCAGAAGAGAACTGGCGGGATCCTCATGCCCTCCCCCCTAGTCATGCGCAGTGGAGCCCAGCACGTGACCGAGGAGCAGGCACGAAAAACCCCTTTTGCTTTCCAAAATACTGATCGGGGTTGGCACAGGTGCACTATAATCCAGAGGTGTGATGCACAGAGACCACGAAGAAGATGAGGGCTTTCTCTTGCCATGGAGGTGATCATCCCTCTTTAAAGAAAAAGATGCTGTACAGTCACCTCCATGCTTGAAAGTAGACGGATGGACTGTAATGGTAGAGTCTCAGTTAATTGCTCTCTGCATTGCACAATTAAGGATACATCTGCCCATCAATCTCCAATTTTGACATATTTATTTCCTTCATTATGTTTCCCCCCCGGAATTAAACCCGGAATTAAACCATATAAACTAGGCTTGTTATTCCTGTTTGGTCCTTGAATCAGTTAAACATCTTCATTATGCTGTATGCTCATCATCTACCTATATGTATGGACTGGTAATTTCCATTTCATTGCATCTGAAGAAGCGTTGGTACACATGAAAGTTTATACCATGAATAAAATTTTGTTGGTCTTAAAGGTGCTACTGGACTCAAAACTTTGTTCAGCTCAGCCACCTTCCCCCCCCCCCCCCACGGCCCCCCCCCCCCCATATGATGGCCTGGGCAATACATCTGAATTCCTAGAAGTGCCGTCATAGCCTGGCTATGCCCAATCACTCTCCAAGCAAGAAAGTAGAGTCTACTGGTAACTGGCAGAACTGGGAAGGGATCAAAATCATACGCAGTTCTTAGCAGGCAAGACAGAGGTCCTGTGCCTGAGTTGGTGCGGTACGGGGTTGGGGATCCCTCTTCCGACCTTCAATGGGGCACCGTTGGTGCCAATGTCGGAGATTAGGAGTTTGGGAGTGCTCCTGGATCCCTCCGTAACAATAGAGGCCCAGGTGGCAGCTACTGCCAGATCTGCATTTTACCATCTTAGGCAGGTTCGGCAGTTGGTTCCCTTCCTCTACTACGATGACCTGGCTACAGTGATCCATGCGACGGTCACCTCAAGGCTAGACTACTGTAACGCTCTCTACATGGGGCTGCCTTTGTCGCAGATCCGGAAGCTGCAGCTAGTGCAGAATGCAGCGGCCAGGCTGCTGATGGGCCTCCCCAAGTGGGAGCACATCCAGCCTGGGCTGAAAGCACTGCACTGGCTGCCAATAGCGTACCGAATCCGCTTCAAAGTGCAGGTACTTACCTTTAAAGCCTTACATGGCCAGGGTCCAACTTACCTGAGGGACCGCCTTTCCTCATATATACCCCCAAGAGCACTTGGGTCGGGGACAAAACACCGCCTGGTGATTCCAGGCCCCCGGGAGGCAAAGCTTGCTGCAACCAGGGCCAGATCCTTTTCAGTGGCGGCCCCTACCTGGTGGAATGAGCTCCCGGAGGAGATCAGGGCCCTGCGGGACCTTATGCAGTTCCGCAGGGCCTGCAAGACGGAGCTCTTCTGCCAGGCTTTTACATAGGGGCTGCCACTACCACTATCACTAGTGGTGGAGATACCAATGGGGTTAGGGACAGTCCCAGGAAGATCAGCCACAATCTTGACACTGATACTGCTGGACTGGCTGACCATCGACAGGACAATGTTGCCCCCAAGGAAATGAATGATACCATCACGAAATTATTCGGAGGCCATCTTGTTTGCACGGAGCACTTTATTCCTGTTTATGTTGTTATTTAATGGTTTTACAGTTTTATCCTGTTTTTATGTATGGGGGCTTGTGCCCTCTTGTAAGCCGCCCTGAGCCTGCTCGCGGGGAGGGCGGGGTAAAAATGTTAATAAATAAAGACACAGTTCTCAGCAGGCAACACTGTACCCACCCAGCAATCACATTGGTATAGCCAGGCTATTAAACCTTGCAGTTCAAATTCTCAAAGAAAATCCTGAACCAGTTTAAAGCTACAGGTTTAGCTGGACAAGCATGGAGAGTTACCTTAACTTTTGGCACAAAGCTTACCATTTCAATTGGCACCAGCAGTGGAATTACTTCATTGTCTTCCTGCTCCGGTCCCACAACACCTGAGATTTCTGCTGTCTCCTCCACCTCTCCTTTCAGGCTTCCAGGAGCAAGAACATCACTTCCTTCAACCAGCTCTCTGGATTTAACTGGAGTCTGCCCTTTACTTTTATTCTTCTGGTTCTTTTTTTTCTTATTATTTTTCTTAAAAAAAAAAAAACAGATTAAAAAGTGTGTTGAGAAAGCAGCCACCATCAAAAAGCCATTTGTCAAGAATCCCCAATCCAAGGGATTTTTGGTACAGGCTGGCAGAGCACAAAATTACAAACAAACAAACAAACCATGGGGTATGTGTCCACACGCTCATCAGTTCTGGTGTCTGCTACCAGCCCCCTTGGACTACCCACACAGTCAGAAGCTAAGGGGCAAGCTTCTAACCTTACAGGGATTAATCAAGAAAGTCAACCCTGAAAAGTAGGCCACTTGCAGAATGAATTTCCACGACAATTAACTTGGTAGGTGGACTCTTACGGTCTAAGGTACTGGAATAGGATAGAGGCACTTGGAAGCACAGAACACACCAAGTATAATAAAAAGATATTTATTAAAGCGTGCAGGAATATGTCAAAAGGACACAGCAGTAAGAACTAAACGAAGAAGGTACATTTAAGAGACGTACTACACAGTATGACTTTAATTCAAAATGACCAGACGTTACCTTTCTGAACTGAAGTCAATCAGCAATCCATGCCTCTCTGTCCAGAGAACGTTTTGTCAGGCAAGAGCCTGGTCCATTCTGAGGTTAGCTCATTGTACCTCCTGATAGCTGAGGCTAGCTACTAACAAAGAACAGAAAGACTAACTTTTTAAGGCCTAAGACCTGTGTGGGCTGTGACCTGATAGTCCAATAAAAAAACCAGACCATTGACGTTATGTTGACATGACCCTGTTACTAGCAGATGGCCCAGGAAGGGGTCACTTTAAGGCGGGATAGAGGGTGATCTGCAGTCTAACCCATCCCTTCATGTAGTATTAAATCACAGCGCCAGGTGAAGGAGTGTGGTGAAGCAGGGATGCACTGGCACCACAGTCCTGTCCTGGTAAACAAATCGTTTGTCTCTGAACCTGAATGGTGACCTAAAGGTCACAAGGTCGATTTGCCAACCCTTCAGTACCAACAGCCAGTTATTTTCCATTTGGTCTCTTCAACTCATTTGCAGGCCTACAGAGAAATATGAGGCCTGGTGTATAATGAAGGAACAAGAAATTGACCTTAAGGTCCAATTTCTTGACACCACTCATCTATGAAACAGTGGAAATAGACGACTCAATGCAAAAATGCCTTGATACTGTAGGTGAAGCCCACCCACTGACACGACTAAGACCTGATTCGCACAGACAGGATAAGAAAGCAACCAAAAAGGTGCGGTCCATTCTGGCTTCAATTGTTGGATTCCAGCTATGTATCATGTTGGTTTGCATTTTAAAATAACATCCCATTAAGCCTCAATCAGAGGCACAGGACATATTTTTCCAGGCCTGTCCAGGTTGAGGCCTAGTGTGGTGTAGTGGGTAGAGTATCAGACTATAATCTCGGGGGCCCAAATGTGAATTCCCACTCTGCCATGGAAGTTTTCTGGGTGATGTTGGGCTAGTCGCATACTCTCAACCTAACCAACCTTACAGGATTTTTGTGAGGATAAAATGGAGAAGAGAACTTTGTAAGCTGCTTTGGGTCTTGCCTGACAAAACGTTCTCTGGACAGAGAGGAATGGATTATCAGGCTATCAGGGGAGACATGATTGAGGTTTATAAGATTATGCATGGGATAGAGCAGGAAGAGGTACTTTTCTCCCTTTCTCACAATACAAGAACTCGTGGGCACTCCATGAAATTGCTGAGCGGTCGGGTTAGAACAGATAAAAGGAAGTACTTCTTCACCCAAAGAGTGATGAACACATGGAACTCACTGCCACAGGAGGTGGTGGTGGCTACAAGCATGGGCGGCTTCAAAAGGGAATTAGATAAGCATATGGAGCAGAGGTCCATCAGTGGCTATTAGCCACAAGGTATAGATAGGGACTCTGGGGCAAGTGATGCTCTGTCATCTTGGTGCTTGGGGGGGGGTCTGTAACCACAAGAAGCCCATTTGGCTTCTTACGGTCTAAGGTACTGGAATAGGATAGAGGCACTTTACCTCAAAGGACATTGCTACTCACCAGAAGCCTTTAGGCCTGGGTGGGATACAAGTGCAAATAATTCCAGACATCATCAACAGCAAAACCTTGTATACAGTTGCAGCTAGACATGGATATTTGAGGAATATACAGAAATGCTAAGAAGAGTGCCCAATTACTACACTCAGGGTAGGCTCCTACCTTCCGCTCTTCAGCACCTGTCTGTTGAATCTTCCCTGAACCTGGATAACTCCGGTTAAAGATGGGAAGAGCAATGGATTTATCCGTTTTAAGGTGAAGAATTTTAATGCTCCGAAAGATCTATAGGAATATAAGATGATAACGGAAGTCAGGCAGACAATACTCCAGGTGAGCACTTTCAGCTGCACAACCCACTCACAAATTAACCTCAGTGAGATTAAAGTGGTGGATTCCTCTGCAAAGGAGCGCAGCACACACACATACCCATCTGCTCAAGCAAAATTACCTTAGGAGCTTTAGCAGCAAGCACCGTCACAACTGCAACAACATTTCCCACTATTTCCTCCGCAGTCATCCCAGTATGTCCAACACGTGCTGTACTGAAAACAAAACAACATCCAATGGCTTAGGTATCCTGCTAACTTCATCATACTTCAGCTCTCTCAAACTTGGCTGCCTGTTTGACCCAACAACTTGGATCCACTAGGTCAGTGATGGCGAACCTTTTAGAGACCGAGTGCCCAAACTGTGACCCAAAACCCACTTATTTATCGCAAAGTGCCAACACAGCAATTTAACCTGAATACTGAGGTTTTACTTTAGAAAAAAACAACTCATATATTAACTTAAGATGATCCAAACAAAGTAAGGAAAGCAATTCCAAATGCTTTCATTTACTTAAAATTATTTGGCAGAGAATTCAACACTTTAATGATGGTCTGGGCCTGGCTGGGGCGATGGCATGCGTGCCCACAGAGAGGGCTCTGAGTGCCACCTCTGGCACCCGTGCCATAGGTTCGCCACCACTGCACTAAGTCATTTAAGAACATGTACACCCCCCTTGGAAGAGCATGACCAATAGGGACTACTGGGCAGAAATATTTGAAGGAACATCCATGGACATTCCTCACCAAACCCTTCACAGAAACACCTCCTGGTGCGGTTCACTCCTCAACAAAAATTGGCCATAGCACTTAAAATCCTATAGAAAACAACTATTTTGCATCCATTACCCTCTGTGTAGCTACAGTACTAACTTACAGATCAGCTAGAATGACAGTCAATTCACACACACAAGAGAATAAGATGGCAGCGAGGATGCAGAGTGGACTGCGGCCTGCAGGTGATGACTTATTACTTCACAAAAAGCCTTCTATGCAAACAGAAAACTAGCACAATGGCTTGGGGGGGGGGGGGGACATTTTTCTTTGGGTATCCGGCTGCCACCAGGAATTTTAAGGCTTTCCAACCTCTTACTATAATATATATTTCTATCACTGGGTAGGTGTACCATGGGTCTAGGCATTCATGAAGGTCTATGTGGTCTGAGGAAGGATTATTTGCTGAGCTGGTATACTTGAAGGAAATAGGATTTATTTAAAGAAAGCATCAACACAAGGGCAAACAATGTAAACAGAACTGGGAATGATTTGAACCATGGCTTGGTGTCTCTCACAAGCCTCTCTCCACTGACAGGGATATTTCATAGGCAACTTTGTAACACTTTTCACTGTACTTTTTCCTAGACTCTCAGCTTGTAATTTTCTCCTATAACACAGACTTAAATGTCACTCTTTTCACACACAGGGCTGAGTCTCCTTCAACTCAGAGACAGAACTTAACTGACTCCTGCTTCTCTCACAGAAATCTCAGGACCAACTCCTATCAACTGCTTTTACACAGCACTCTCTGCTGACTGACTCCTCAACTGTCTGTTTAACTGTCTCACTCTAACAGTCACTCCTGATAGACTTTCAAATCATCCACACAGCATCCATTCCAAAACCCCTCCCCCTCTCTGTCACTCACCAATCACATCACTTGCCTATTTCAACCACACTAGACTTTCACACAGCAATGTAAACCAACCTTTTAAAGACACACACACAAAAAAAAACATGAAATCGTTACATAGCAAATGCAGCAATAGGCGGCACTGCTTCCAAAATGAATAAATCGGCTCAAGGAAACTGTACCCCAAAGTGGCTTAAAAGAGTACTTTTCCTGGAGCTCAGATGCATTACCATCTTGGGGCCAAGAAAAAAGCACGGGGAAGGGGGAAAATATGGCTGATGCCTTTAACAGTCCTGCTTCCGAAAAAGTTATGCAGGATCAGCTCTCTTCCTACTTTAAATCCCTTACTGCTCCCTAGGACTTCCCTTAGTGGTGTTTTTTCCCCAGAGCAGGTTAAGAGCTCTTATGTTCTTACATGCGTTTACTGTAATGCATGCTGAGTTCATATTTAATGTAATTCATCATTCTACTACATTAAAATTAGACACTAGCACACCAGCTTCATGTACTGGATTCCTCCAGGGAATTCTTAGCATCAGATGACACTTCAAAATAAGATCCTGCATGATCCTCCCCTTCGGTCTGATGTGAATCTATGTCCTTACTCCTGTGCATATGTAAACCAGTCTTCAGTGGTGACAGAGGGGAACAAGCCCAGTGCTTACTGTCTGGAAAGTATAAATAGCTAGAAAGCTCGTATCATTACCTTGCTTTGAGTATCTCTTTGTCTATCCTCCTTTGCGTGATTGCCCTATATTCTAGAGCCATTCCAGAAGGATCTAGTCATGTACCATGAGGCAGTTTGGTGTCGTGGTTACTCTAATCTGGGAGAACCGGTTTTGATTCCCCCACTCCTCCACTTGCACCTGGCTGGATGACTTTGGGCAAGCTGTAGTTCTGATAAGAGCTGTCCTCGAAAAAGAGCAGTTTCTATCAGAGCTCTCTCAGCCCCACCTACCTCACAGGGTGTCTGTGGTGGGGAGGGGAAGAGAAAGGAGTTTGTAAGCCGCGCTGAGACACCTTTGGGTAGTGAAGGGCGGGGTATAAATCCAATCTCTTCTTCTTCTTCGTGAAAAAGAGCAGTTTCTGTCAGAGCTCTCTCAGCCCCACCTGCCTCACTGGGTGTCTGTGGTGGGGAGGGGAAGGGAAAGGAGTTTGTAAGCCGCTCTGAGACACCTTTGGGTAGTGAAGGGCGGGGTATAAATCCAATCTCTTCTTCTTCTTCTTCAGTGCAAACCCTAAGCATATTTTCCCATGAGCTTTTTAGAACTGAGTTATTTCTCCACCACTAAATGTTACTTAATATGTGTATAGCTCAGTGTCTTCCACGGTGCTTCAGGCATATTATCACAGCAATCCTTACAAACAGCCACCTTGTGGCTAAAATGTGAACGGAAAGCTTCCCAGAACACAGTTCCTTTCCTCTCTCAAATTCCAAAGCTGCCCACAGGCTCTCTCTGCTTTAGCCCCTATGTGCCTGCATATTCTCTATCCTAATGAAGATAAAGGGGAAAAAATGAATACTCACTAGCAGCAACCCTTGTTGGTGACTGGAAGAACAGTTCCTTGGATACGCCTGTTTATTTCCTTGGCCAGATTCTTCGCTTTCAGGTTCACGGAGAGAGGAGCCCTGACATTTTAAAAAAACACAAATCTTCCGTTTAAGTGGTTCAGTTTCCAAAGAGAATCTTATACAGTAGATAGCACAAAAGCAAAGACACTTACTTTTTACTCCTATAGAAGTGTTTCCCTATGTGAGACGGTAAAAGCCTTCTAATGCGGTCATCAGACAGAAAGAGAGAAAAGCGATTCAGAAGGCGGCGCTTTGATTCAAACGACTTGTATTCTTTTTTCAGGGTTTTGTAAGAAATGACCTTCGAAAACCGAAAAGAAATTGAGTGTTGGCTGTTACAATATTGACTCTCATCAGAGGAGCGGGGGGGGGGGGGGAGAGAAGAAAAAAAAATCAAGCACACACACTTAGTGAGGGGTCAAAGTAAACCATCCTAGTCACCAGATGAACCTATAAATTTGCCCCTATAAATCTGATCCCAGAACATCTGGCGTTAGACATAACAATTCAGCAGGGCAACAGGCCTAGGGTGCAAACACCTTGGCACAGTTGTTGTTTTTCTTTCAGCTTCCATGCTTGCTTTAAGCAGGCACTGGTATCTGGGAGGCCATGACAGGCATCAATTCATACAAACCTGCCCAAAGTTCATTAAAGGATAGAGAGATAATGGACATGCAAATGTCCTCACAGCATTTATGAGGAGAGAAGGATCATACGGTTTTTTCCCCATCCCCACACTGCAAAAAAGCTACCAGTGTTAGTTAGGAACTGGCAGACCATGAGTCCAAACTGGCCCAATTAGTCCGCCTAGCCTTGCACCCCATACATTTGGTGCAAGCCAGTTTGGTATAGTGGTTAAGTGTGCGGACTCTAATCTGGGAGAACCGGGTTTGATTCCCCACTCCTCCACTTGAACCTGCTGATGTGACCTTGGGTCAGTCACAAGCTCTGGCACAGCTGTCCTTGAAAAAGAGCAGTTTGTGTCAGAGTTCTCTCAGCCCCACCCACCTCCCAGGGTGTCTGTTGTGGGGAGGGGAAGGGAAAGGAGTTTGTAAGCCGCTCTGAGACTCCAAGTGAAGGGCGGGGTATAAATCCAATCTCTTCTTCTTCTCTTCTTTAAAAAAACCCCCCTTTTCCTAGACTTGTTTGTTGTGGGCTTCATGGCCTGTGGTCTTTGTTCCTTCCCAGAACTTGAAGCACATTTAGAAAAAGAGGCTATCTTTTTAGGAAGACGAGTGTCCTTGATACCTCTGCGATGTTTGTGACTCCATGCTGGCTCAAGAGTTTCCTGTACATGTTCTCAGACTGTTCAGCTGTTAAGCCCGGCTCATCCTTGGTAAACAGGCAGACCTCAGATGCTGAAGGAAGAATACCGTGAGGGAGTGTTCTATATATAAAAAAAGAAACAAGATTTTAACCATATATAGATTATGTATAGGCAACTGTCTCGGACCGAGTGTGAAGATGTTGGTGTGCTGGCAAACAAAAGGTGTGTGTGTGTGAGAGAGTTGGCCAGACACATTCAAAGCTAGCCAAACACTAGCAGCAGTGCCAGCAGCTGAGGGATTTGTCTTAGACTTGGTTGGTGACTGGTATCTGGGATGCCATGACAGGCATAAGCTGCACCATTGCATCTTCCTGCACCACCGGCCACAGGCTGTTGTGCCATTTCTGGCACATCTGCTAGAGGTGTCTATCCCAATACAGACCTTTTAACTGGAAACACCTGGAATTGAACCCAAGACCTTAAGAACATAAGAGACGCCAATGTTGGATCAGGCCAAAGGCCCACCCAGTCCAACACTCTGTGTCACACAGTGGCCAGAAATACCAGGTGCCATCAGGAGGTCCACCAGTGGGGCCAGGACATTAGAAGCCCTCCCACTGTTGACCCCCCCCCCAAGCACCAAGAAGACAGAGCATCACTTGCCCCAGAGTCCCTATCTATACCTTGTGGCTAATAGCCACTGATGGACCTCTGCTCCATATGCTTATCTAATTCCCTTTTGAAGCCATCCATGCTTGTAGCCGCCACCACTTCCTGTGGCAATGAATTCCATGTGTTAATCACTCTTTGGGTGAAGAAGTACTTCCTTTTATCTGTTCTAACCCGACCGCTCAGCAATTTCATGGAGTGCCCACGAGTTTTTGTATTGTGAGAAAGGGAGAAAAGTACCTCTTTCTCTACCTGCTCTTTCCCATGCATAATCTTATAAATCTCAATCATGTCACCCCTCAGTCGTCGTTTCTCCAAGCTAAAGAGCCCTAAGCGCCTTAACCTTTTCTCATAGGGAAAGTGTTCCAACCCTTTTATCATTCGAGTTGCCCTTTTCTGCATACAAAGTAGATGCTCTGCCACCAAGCTACACCCCATCATGTGCACCTCCTTACATTTTGACTACTTGTTCACGTGGAGGGATTTTCCATACTGTGACCATCAAAAAGACATTCAGGTCTTCATTCAGCAGCAATTTCTCAGACGTTTTCTGCCTGGTCTTGTTGTAAGCCAGCAGGGCATGAGCTGCCTTTTTAATCTCAAAGGACAAAGATACAATAAAATTATTAATGCTGCATTTGTGTTCTACAAAAATCTCAGAAAGACACTGCTCTGGAAGCAAACTCAGGTCAACAGTCATTTTTTTCAAGCCTGCCCAATTTGCTTAACTGATTGGGTAGGAACTTCAATTTTCTATATATTGAGCCCGTTACTGAAGCCTGCAAATAAACCCTCAACACAAGGACATTAAAGTGTCAAAGCAGGTGAGTACGATCACCGCCACACATATTTATACTGTCTGCCAGTGGCTTCTCTTCCATCCTCATCCAACTGTTCACAAATGAAAATAGCAACTTATGACGCTCCTGTTCTTACACCAAGGATCACTGCCCATGTCCATTGCTGCCATGCATTGATAAAGACTGTTTCTGCTCTGCTACCACCTCTGAAACAATCTGTCCAGCACTCACTTCTGACTGTAACTGTTTGTTATTTAAGAATTTACTCATCACAGAATGATTGCAGCTTTAGCGGGATCCAGTTTTTTCTACAAAGGAAAAAGGGCGCAAGACCACACACACATGAGTAATGCTGGGGATCATGTGATCTGCATGGACAAAAGCTGTGTTGAATGGGGGGCCATACTAAAAGATTAAACAAATAATATGGCTCAATCCAACCCACCACCTAAGTACATGGGTAAGGTGTGGAGAGAGACAGAAAAGGCACCCAGTGCGGTACACTTATTACTGTGCCAGACTACAACCCAGAATACCCAAGTCTGAAACCCAACTCTGTCATGGAAGCTTGCTGGGTGATTTGGGGTCAGGCATACACTCCATGCTAAACCTACTTTACCGGTTGTTGTGAGAATAAAAACGGAGGAGAGGATAATGATGTAAATTGCTTTAGGTCCCCATGGAGAAAAGGACAGGTATGATTAAAATAAATCAAATCTAAGAATAAGTGTACTGGTATTGGCAGGCCACATGTGCTGCAGTTAACCAGGGACTTGCAGGTGGACTGCAAATATCAGAACAGTAATAAACCATGTTTATTACCATAAGCAAATGCTCATTACTTACAATTATGCTGCTTCTGTTTTCTTTGTGTTGACTAAAAGAAGCACACACATGAGTTATTAGTTCCTAGTTTGTTCAGTTAGGCTCCCCTTCAGGAAAGGGACAATCTCTAACATTACAGACAGAAGAATGCAGCATTCTACTAAATTAAACAGCTCAACAATATTTTGACCATCTAGTTTTTCTGTGCAACCTCAAGCATTTAAAAATACACCTTGACCATGTTCTTAAGTACATACAATTTGTAAATTTGAGCTTCGCCTCCTAGTCACCCAATAGCAACCGACAATGACAGAGCAAGAGGACTCAACTGCAGCCATCCGCTAGCGTCATTAAACCTTTACTTATATCACCCAACTCAAGCAGCATGGGACAGTGCTTAGCATAGGATCCAGAAAACCCAGATTCACCGACGCCCACTCTCTAATAACTATCAACCTATTCTATCTCGCAGAGCTAAGGTGAGCTTAAAATGGACGAGTGGAAACTAAATGTACGCCATTCTAATCTCCTCGGCAAAAAGGACAGGATAAACACACAGATAATTTTTTAAAAATCTATGGAACTCATGGCGCTTCTAAAATTAATACATCCTCCCATTAAAACTACCCTCTTACCTTCACCCCATCCAGGGGCACCGCAGTATCAGCTCCAGCCATGCTACCCTTTCGATTTCCACGTGTACCCCAGGTTGTGCGTGTCGCACTTTAATGACGTCAGCAGAAACCGAGCTCCTCCCTCCTATTCCACAGCCTAGGAGTTTCTCGCTCGCCGGGCCGGCCCGCGTATCTCGCTGGCGCGCAAATCGGTCCAGGCGGGTTCCACAGCGACCTCTGTCGGCACTAGGTGTAGAAAGCAGGACTGTTCGCCGGGTTTGCCTGCGCGCTGGTAGGCAAGTCGTTCTCTCTTCCAGACAGTGGGTCTGTTCACTCAAAGTAAGTCCCACTTTGTAAACTGACTTAGGGCCAGCCAGGCAATAAGTTTGCAATGTTCTGCGTGTTTTCTTAGGTGTCATAGTATTTGGTGTTCCAGAGTACACTGCCCACAGAGGCTCCATTTGGCCATGCCAGCGTACAGCTGCTGATGGTCCTCTCCTTCACAGACTTGCCCAATCCCCTATTAAAGGTAAAGGTTCCCTTGCTCGAAAGCCAGCCGAATCCGACTCTAGGGTTGCGGTGCTCATCTCTGTTTCCAAGCCGAAGAGCCAGCGCTGTCCGAAGACGTTTCCGTGGTCATGTGGCCGGCACGGAACCGGCTGTTACTTTCCCACCGAAGTGGTACATATTTATCTACTTGCAATTTCTTGCTTTTGAACTGCTATGTTGGCAGGAGCTGGAACTAGAGATGGGAGCTCACTCCGTCATGCGGCAACTCGGGTCTCGAACTGCTGAACTACTGACCTTCCACAGCCTGCAGTTCAGCATATTAACCACTTGAGCCACCGCAGCTCCCCTATTACCGAACATCTAAACCAGTGGCCCCACCCCCATGAGTCAGTGTAACATTTGATAGCAATATTTTCTTTGCTCTCTTCTAGGTTTTCATTGATTTCTCCCATTTAGACCCTCCTCTTCCATTAGAATGCAGAACAATTTAAGGTCAGTAGCCAGTCGTTTTTGTTTAATCTCCACAACACAGCCTGCTAATAAATTCATATCAATGAAGGGGAGCGGTGCAGTGGTATAGCATCCACTTTGCACACAGAAAGTTCCAGGTTCAATCCCTGGCACTGGTAGGTAAAAGGATCCAGTGGTGTGAAAACACTCTACCTAGTGCCCTGGACAGCAACTACAGTCTGAGTAGACAACACTGCACTCGATGGAATGATGGTCTGATTCAGTATAAAGCAGCTTCATGTGTCCAACATCTCCTTTGAACTCTTTGCTGCTATTAAGTAGCATGGTTAACCTGCTCCACAACATGATCCTTCACAAGGAATGATAACACTTGGCATTTACAATCTACCTCAACAGTCCCCTCTGCGTGTGGATACTTATTGCCGCCAACAGAGGGCACACACTCCCCCAACAGGTTTTTCTACAGACTCAGGGGACTCCATGGGTCTACAGAAAAATCCAAAAAGTAAAAAAAAAAAATCAGGGAGGGTTGAATTCCCCTCCCCTAATACCTTTTAAAATGGCCCTGCCTTGACAGTGAGAGAGAGACTGGCTGATAGCCAGAGAGACAGATGCAAGAGAGGGATTATAAATGGGGGGAAAGGGCAGGAAACAAACACAGAACTGGAACTGGGATTGGGGAGGATTTATCCTGCAGTATGAATGGCTAAAGTCCAGGCAGTGCACTTTCCAGGCCTGTTTTGGAGCCAGGACTGGGACTGCCCACTCCAGGTTGGGAAATTCCTGGAGATTATGTGGTGAAGTCTGATGAGAGCAGAGTCTGGGGAGGGGAGAGGTCTCAGCTGGATACAATGCCACAGAGTCCACCCATTTTCTCCAGGGGGACAGATCTCTGTTGTCTGGAGTTCAGCTGTAATTCTGGAGGATCTCCAGGTCCCACCTGGAGGCTAGCAAACCTAGGCCTAGCAGCACCCTCTGAGTGACTTGATAGCACCTGACTTGCATGATTCAACTAGGCCTGGCTGCTTGCTTCTGTTCAACAGTAGCCACCCTATGAAAGTCAGTGTAGAATAATGGTCAGAGCTTCAGAGCAGTTTGCAAGACCCAGGTTTAGATCCCCATCTTGCTGTGGAAGTTCACTGGGTGATTTTGGACCAGTCATATACTAACCTACCTCATAGGGTTGTTGTGTGGATAAAGAGGAGAGAATAATGTAAACGGCTTTAGTCCCCACTGTGGAGAAAAACCATAGTTTTCCTCAGTAGAAGCTGCAGGGGGAAAGGAGATGGAAAGCTGAAGATGCGAGGGGGGGGGGCAGATAAAGGTAGGTTGGCTGGTGGGTGGGAAGGAGATAAGGATGCCAACTCCAGATTGAGAAATTCCTGGATATTTGAGGGATGGAGCCTGGGGATGGTGGGGATTAAGGCAGGGACGGACTTCAGACAGATATAATGCCATAGACGCCACCAAAGCATTGTCTCCAGGGGACCTAATGTTGCCAACCTCCAGGTGAGGGTTGGAGATCTGGAATTACAACAGATCTCCAGATGACAGAGATCAGTTCCCCCAGCGAAAATGGCTGCTTTAAAGGGTGTTGTTTATGGTATTATACCCTGCTGAGTCACTTCCAGGCTCAAACCTCATCCTTCCAAGGCGCCACCCCCAAATCTCCAACAATTTCCCAACATGGAGCTGGCAACCCTAAGAAGAACTGATCTCTGTAGCTGGGCAATCCGTTGAGATTCCTGGAGAGTGGCTGCTGCTGCTGCTATGAGGGGTGGAGGAAGTAGGTGAGAGGCCGAGAGAGTGACGGGCAAAGTGACGGGGTGGGGGCAGAAAGTGACAGGCATGGAGGGGAGAGAAAGTAAAGGGGTGAGAGGAAGGATGGGGTGAGAGGAAGGAGCGTGTGAGAGAAGTAGGGAGAAGAGGGGAAGAAGCAGAGGTGGAGGAAATGGGATAGCCGCTCTTGCCATTTTCTTGCGGATCCCCACTCGTTTTAATATGTTTTAGAAGTCATTTACACATTGTACCAGTGTAGAGAGTAGCCTGTGTTCTTGAATACCTCTTTTTAGTGGCTCTGGCTGACCTGTCTGCTGGGAAGACATGTAGAACACATTATAAATAAAAGCCGGTTGACACTTTTGTGTATGAACTGCTATATTCTTGCCCTCCCCCCAGCACTGTGAGGTCACATAATGTTCAATCTATACACCGGAAGTGAAATGAAGGACAGGAGGGCTGGAACAAACACAGGGCCTGAGAGGCCAAAAGGGATGAGAAAGGCTCAGGGGTCATTTCCTGCAGGAGCACACAGGAGCAGAGCTCCGGCAGTAAAGAGCCCAGGGGGAGGGCACATGCAACAAGCCCCGCCCCCTGCTCCCAGCAGCCCTCAGTCAGAGCAAGAAGCAGCCGGGTAAGCTGCAGAGCCCCCCGGTCCAAAACAGTCCAGTGGCACCTTTAAGACCAAGTTTTATTCAGGTACCAGCTCTCCCTCCTCTGCGAGGACAGATCTGCACATCCCCCCCCCCCCATAGATAGCAATCCAAAACAGTCCAGTGGAGCCTGAGCGGTGGGTGTTGCCTTCTGACACATTTCTGGTGATGTCAGGGGGTGTGGCATATGCAAAGAAGTTACGCTAATGAGTTCTGTTAATGAGCTCCTGCACCTCTTTTTCTACGAAATGACCCCTGGAAAGGCTGATTAGTGAGAACTTGTTAATTCACAGCATGTCCTAGTTTAGAGGTCCCCAATATGGTGCCCATGGGAGCCATGACACCCACTAACACCTGACTTGGCATCCGCCAAGTGTTTGTAAAAAGAAGGGGGAGCGGGGCTTTTGCTTGGCAAGTCTCTTGATTGGCCACTGGAGTTTCAATTAGCTGTGCAGTTTTTTAAAAAAACACATTGGTTTGGCAGCAGCTGTCACCACAGCACAAGGATCTTAACTGTGTGGCTGTGACAGCCAGTTCGTGGCTGGCCCCGCCTCCAGTGGCAGCCATTTCAAAGGTGCTTGTAGGCTCAAAAAAGGTTGGGGGGGGGGCTTGCTTTTATTTATTCAGAATATTGTAGCTTTCCCTGATTATTTTAGAGCAAATGGCAAACAAAGGGAAAGAAGATAGATTCAGATGGGTAGCCACATTGGTCTGAAGCAGTAGAACAAAGTTTGAGCCCGTGGCACCTTGAAGGCCAACAAAGTTTAATTCAAGGTATGAGTTTTCGTGTGCATGCACATTTCCTCAGATACATGATTGTAATGTGATGCAATGAATAATAGAATGTAATAAGGGGCGGGACCCGCGATACTCGCGGGGGGGAGGGACCTCCACACATGAGGCAGAGGAGGAAGCAGCAGGAGGAGGTAAGTCCCCACCCATTCCCCCAGCTCCGAAGCGAGGGCTGAGCGGCGAGCCGCTCGGTCCTTGCTGCTCTCTCTCCTCCCCCCCCCCGGTTCCGAAGCGAGGGCCGAGCAGCTCGCCGCTCGGCCGTCACTACTCTCTTTCCTTCCCCCCCCTCCCGGCTCGCCGCACTGCTCTTCCCTCCGAAGCGGTGGCGGTGGCGAGGGAGGTCGCAGAGCATTCCCTGCGCATGCGCAGGGGACGCTCTGTCAGTTTCGGGGGGATTTAAACATCCCCCTGATATTTTTTACAGGGTTTCTAATTTTTGGGCACACTTGGGGACCGCCCCACGTATGCACAAAACTCTCCCTCCCCCCCAGGTGCCCCCGGTGCGCGGATTTAGGTATCCGCACACCAGGGGGGCGACTTCAGAATTAGATATATAGATGTCATTTAGAATGGTAGATTGAAATGTATTTCTCTGGTCTGGTGGTGACAGAGGAGACATAACACTGCACCTCAAAGAATAGGATGCTATTAGTTACCTCAATGCTTGAAAGACAGATGGAGTATAACAGGGCCTTTAGATTTACGTATCAGTCTCCAATTTTGACACATTTGCTTCACTACGTCTCAACCCCCCCCCCCAAGAATTAAATCCAAACTTAGCTTGTTATTCCTGTTTGGTTCTCGCATCTGTTAAGACATCTTTGTTATGCTGAATGCTAATTTGCTGTCCACCCTTTACCTATATGTATGGACTGATAGGTTCCATTTCAA